AAAGCTTAGAAACTACACTTTCAGAACCTCAAAAACTCAACTCAACTGGTTTTCTCATGGCTGGTCATATAATATAAAATAAATCCCTTAGTGTTTCTATTATAGAAACACTAAGGGATTTATTTTTTTCTGAATAATAAATATTGTTGGTATTAAGTACATTTAACTAACAATAGTCCAATACGGCACTTTTACCTAAATTAGAGTATTTTTTTATAAAGATTGCAGTACTTTCATTTGTACCCCCCCAAAACTACAAATCCCAGCATCCAACGCGCCTAACGGATATTTTTGGTCCTGCACGGGATCCTTACAAAACGTCACGAGTTACAGGGATGATCATGGGGAGGAAGAATAACAGTAGTTAGCCCGCAACAACTGCAAATTAATAAAATAAAGTAGCCACAGAGAAGGGCGGCGAGCTACCGGAGGCCAACATGGCCAACATCACGAAGAAAGTGTCGTGGTCCAGCCGAGCCGACGAGTCCGGGGCCACCGGGGAGGGGACCCCGCTGCTGAACGGCTCCGAACAGCCCAGACCCTCCAGACAGGTACAGCTAGCATGCTGGCTAAGTGAATGAGCTCGACAGCTGTTAGTCCTGCAAGAAAAGATGCTGTGTCATGTTTTATCGACCGCTGTAAGGTTGTGTTCAGTGCTGCATGGGGGCTTGAAATGAGTGTTTAAACGCATTTCCGCGTGCGCACAGCGTTCATTATGCGGTGTGTTTTCATGTGTTATGATATGTTTGCAGTTTGGGGTATTACATGTGACAACGAGCTGTAGCTGCATGAAAGTAACTTAATTAGTGTTAGTTAAATCACTTGCATGATGCACGTGATTAGATTGTAAAAAAAAAAACTAGCAAAAAAAGTAATCAGATTACTGAGACTTTTGAAAAGCTATAGCTTGTTACTTGGGTGATTCAGTAAAAGAAAGTGGAAAGGGCAGTCTGATGGTGACATTAAGGACACATTCATCATTATGAAGACATTAACCTCATGATGTTTATGTTATGTGTCAGTGTGACAGTTCACAAGTTGTACTTCTCAAGTACTCTAATCAGGTTACATTGGGCTACAGGTAATGTGTGCCTGTTGTAGATACCATTATAATTCAGAACAAGGTTGCCTTTACTATGTTAGAGGACAGACTAGTATTAAAATAATCGGATCATTTTATGAGACATTAGACCTGCTGTCTTCAGACTGAATGAAGTCACCTTCGTCTGGCGAATACAGAAACTCCAACTTCCCTTTTCCCCTGTTACATCTACAGTTACTCAGTTACTGAGGACCAAAGGTAGAAATAAATCATCTGTGCTTCTTTTGTTTAACGTACTTCAGTAGGAGATAATAAGGATTTTCAAACATGTACATTTACGTCAGCCTCATGTCAGACATCAGTAAATACACAGTATTTTTGCTCTAGTAGGTCAGACGAGTGTTATGTCATACAGTGTCTTGAACCCTGTTACTCTTAGCTGCATATCAACATCTATGAGGTGTTAAAACATCAGCCTGAAAATTGCTACACTTAGCCATATATATATATATATATATTTCTGTTACTGTCTGTGATGTCTGTAGCTGTCTGAAGGACGCAGTATATTTCAGATAGGCAGACTCAGCACGGTGGATTTGGAGGAGGAGATAACGTCAGATGAGGTAATGTCTGAGCTCGAAACATCAACCGCACTCTTTCTCTCTGTGTCTGTCGCTCCTGTTGATCATCACTCCATCAAAATCCTTAGCAGCATTTCTCTTAGACTCCTGAAGTTAGTTGTTAGTTCATCCACTATAATGACAAATTCCCACCTATCCACAACCAAATAACCAAATCAATGAGAAGCAATCAGCTATGTCTTAAAATGACACAAGAAAGAATTCTGAAGCATGAAGGGAGCATTAACAGTCGACTTCATGTGATTTAGTCATGCTCAGGCTGAGTCTGTGTACACACGGAGCTTTAAGGCCTGATTTGTGAGATGCAGCCTGCGATAAAAGTTGAGGGTTGAGGCAGTATTGTATTTAATTAAATCTCATTTGCTCTCTTCCAAATATGGCTTAAACCTAACGTGGGAAATCTGACACAGAGATGACCCGCTGATAGGCCAAATCAGCACAGTGACCATTGACTCATCCGGTCTGCTTAAAAGACACGTGTTTGGAAACTGTCTGGCGGTTTCCATCGTGATGCATTGCAAATGATGAATTGATGCAGACCACGTGTTTGATAATGTGCACAACCCTGACCGCATTTAGTATTTTCAGAAACGTATTGATCCTCATTAATCAAATTACGCACAGAGCAACAGGCCGTTTAAGCAAGACCTTATCCTGCTGTGAATGTGAAGACAAAAACATGTAAATAGGGTTGAATTAGCTTACACTAGAGTCAGGTTCCGTTGTGTAGCTTTTTGCACAGTCGCAGTAAGTTCAACCAGGCAATAAAAACTAAATAAAGTAACTATAAACATAAATAAAACCCTGTGCAGGACTATATGACTGAAGACATCACATCTGTTTCCCTCCGTGACAGAAACCATCAGATTCAGCTCCTTTTTCACTGGCTGATGGGAATGTGATGCCGTGCATGTGATTTGCTTGATTGTTGTTTGCTGTAAAAACAAAAGTGTTTTGGTCTGTTTATGTGAATGTCA